AAATATCCATTTGATACACCCTGGAACATAAAGTACCGAATACTCCGATCATGTATCATGTTATTAATATAAGAGTTTAGTAGTAAATGGGTATGTGGAAACTTGGGCAAAAGAAAAACCTAGCTCCTTAGGAACAAATTAATGGAACAAAAGAGAGATTGGGGCACACAAGAAAAAAGACCTTGGAATATACAAGTTTTTTTTGTGAGCTTTTATATTTATTCACCTTTAAAGCAATTCTAATATTAATGGCAGCGAATTTGACGCAACTTTTGGTAACATTTCGTCAAACAACATTGCACCTTTACATTATTTCTCCTTTGCCAAAAATCACCTAGTACCTCTTGATATTAAAAAAATTTCAGATGCCACAAATTCATTAATTGCTCAACCCCACATAGAGTCACAGCTCACTCTCTCTATATATATAATGGATCTTGTTCTATAAAGAACTGAGAATTTAAACCCAATTTATATGTCCCGCATATAAATTATTACAGACATTCTTTCGTAAGTCATCATATCAAATCATGAAAAAATAAAAACTACATTCAATAATAAATTATTATTATTCACTTCCAATTCTCTCGAGATAATGATATTATTAATGGTACAAGTAAATATTTATATTTGATATTTAACATTAGTATAAATAAAAAATTGATTCTAGTTCTATAAACATCTTGAGAAAAGTGCCAACAAAAGTAATACTTTCAACTTGTCATAGAATAACCAATACTTAAACTAACTTTTTGTTTGAATTGTTATTTAAAAAGTCCCAATTTAGCTTTCAATTTTTCGTTTAATAAAAGAAAGTTGTTTGCATAGTGAAAAATGGCAAATTTTTTTATTAAAAATCAGAAATTCAATTTGACTGACTGTCTTCTACAAAAAAAAAGGGGTTTATACAAACGCGCGTATATCATAAATCACGTACTTGATAGGTGTAAGGCCCTAATTTTTAAAAAACATTTCACATTCTGAAAAATATTTTAAAATTAAAAATGCAAGCAAATAAAAGAACAAGAGGTGAATAATCTTAATTTACATATCATATATATACATATATATTTAACAACACGTTGCTCAAAAGTTATTTTTGAATGTATATACTAATAATATTACGTGTTTTATAGTATACCATGAAGAATTTATTAATCAAACTACTCTTCAGACAACAGAAATGCAAGCAAATAAAAGAACAAAAGGTAAATGGTTTTTTAATTTGCATATCATATATATACATATATATTTAACAATATGTTGCTCGAATGTTATTTTTGAATGTATACAAATAATATTACGCGTTTTATAGTATATCATGAAGGATTTATTAGTCAAACTGCTCTCCAGACAATAGAAATGCAAGAAGAGGTTGTTATTATTATTTATTTTGTAAATTATATCTTCTTGTCTATCCATGATCTAATCGTAAAGTGTTTGAGTATATAGGAAGTAGAAAAATTAATTGGACCATCAATCTTAATCAAAAAGGAAACAATCAATATCCAAGTAATAATAATATTTAATAAAATTACACCTTACACAAGTATATATTATATATCTTTCGTTTATATTAATAAATTTAAATACCCTTTTCTGCTTTTTGAAAAAAAGAACCTTCAAAAAATGATCCTTCATTGTCTAACAGATGATGTAAAATCCGAGGATTGGATAGAAATTCGAGTATGTGCGATTTATCATTATTATCATCAACATATTCATCATATTCATCTTATTCAAATTATATATTTAATTTACCTATTTAACTATAGAAAAAAAGTCAAATAAAAAGAATTATTGTTGTTGGAATCTCATCGTTTGGTGGAAGATTATTTGGTGTGTCAGGCAATCCTGTTAACGATGAAACCAAGAGAAACCTTGATGCTTTTAATAGAATATTTGGGGCTAAATGTGTAATTAATCCACGGTTTAGCAATTTGAAACAGTTTTTAACAGTTGACTTAACCAATGGAAATATCAAAGGAAGGCTTATCAAGTCCTTTGAAAGAAGTATAATTGCCTATTAATATATATTATCAATTATAAGTATAATATCTATAAATATTAATAATAATTTTCTTTTTAAAAATATAATTTTTTTTTTCTAGGTAAAGAAAAAGATAAAATTGTAAGATTGTTATTAAGAACAGACAACATGCCCTTTTATGGATACGAAGTTCCAGCTTATCCAGCGAAAGAAAGACATTTGCCTGATAAATGGGTTCAAACTACTCTTGATTCTACTCCCACTAATCCCGCTAATGAATTCTTGTTTGTAGGATGCAAATCAGAACAGTATTGGGCACATATTGTCATAATTAACTATGACCAAGATGTCATTTGTAATGAACAGTTTAAATTTGATGGTCCACCTGCTAGTAATGATATTAGAGGGTAAATAATTAAATTTTTTTTTTAAATTTTTATTATTAAAATATACAAAATTAATTATTTTTTTAAATAGATTGCATGAAATGAAAAGTGTAAAAGATATGCAAACCATTTTATTGTCTTTTATCACTAAACAAACAAAATTAGTTGGTCATTCCTTAGAAAGATATTTAAAATTATTAAAAGTGAGTAGAGATTTATAAATTTATAAATAAACATATATATTTATATCTGCAATTAATAAAATATTCTTTTAAAAAAATAGTATGCACACTCAAATGTTATTGACACATCAACTTTGTATCAAGATGGCAGTGGATTATATTCAACTCCATCATTAAACATTCTTAAAATAAGTTTGCATAAATCTTCGCTAGGAATCGTGAATACTGCAGAGAAGAAAGCCCGTGCCATTCATTCTCTATATAAACACATACTTGAACGAGGTAGATTTTATTTGATTTAATTTAACAATAAACATTGTTTACTAATATGTATGTGTGTAAATATATCAAATTTAGGCCTTTACGCTAAAAGGCACAAAGAATCATTAACCCATGTTTTAAACATAAGCAATAGATCCACTGCATTCATTGATTATAATGACAAATATCAATTATATGGTGCCGGTTCAGGTTCTAATGCAAGCCTTGCTTTATGTTCCAATGACGAAGAGGTACTTCTTTCTATTTATTTACAAGTAATAGATACGACATGTATTAATATAAGCTAATTGGATTTTAGGTTGAAGAACAACTCCTTAAAAAAATTAGAAAACCTAATTTTGTATGGGCACATTTTCGTGATCTTGAAACAATTGATCCAAATGAATATCAAAATGGCTTAAAAAATATCAGTAATAGAATAGATAGATTATATAATCAAATACCAACAAACAGTGTTCTAATGGTCATTGGTGAACCAAAAATAAAAAACGAACATGGAATCGCTTTTATTAGAGTTAAAAACTAAAAATGTGTATCATAAATTTTTTTACTGTATCATAAACTTTTTATTAATAAAAACAATTAATATTTGCTATTAAAATTACAATATTTATAATATTTATTTTATTTTCTCTTATTATTACAATGATGATGATAATAACAATAACATAATTTTAAATAAATAATAGCCTACCTTTTTCTTTCACTTACTCTCTTTCTCTCTATTCAGCCCGTTTTTTTTCCTACCTTTACAATTAATCTTTTTTTAGATTTAACAAATTTAGCTTTTGCTGTACTAATATCAACAACATAAGGTAATGGTAAATCTAATACATATTTTCCAAAAGAATTTACAAAAAGTCTGGAAGATTCTATGTCTACAATTGTCTTTTCAATTAATTCCTGTCATATATCAACATTTTAAATGAGTAAATATTGTTTCTGACAAGTATTTAAATAATCGAGAAATAGTTGGATACTTACTAAAGAAGGTATTTCAATTGATATTAATAAATAGCATAGATTATTAATATCATGTTCAGTGATTATGTACTCGGGTTTTTGAGCTTTTGAAATATCATCTTCATTATTGTCGTCTTTAATTTTATTGTCATTTATACTGTTGGTTGGAGATTTAATTGGTTTAGAAATTTCAGTTATTAAAGAGAGTTGTTTCTTTGGAATCTTCACCGTTCTACTCTCTATCTTGCCCTTGTAATGCATTTTAGGAAACACAAAATCTAAAATCATCATGTTTAAATAATTAAATATATATCTACTTTTTTTTTTTTTTTCTTTTTCTTTTAAAAAAACTTTTTTACCTCGCCCAAGTTCAATCATGTTTTTTTCTTCAATCAATTCCACAGCTACTTCACTCACATACAACTTGAAATCATAATCATTTAGGATTCTTTGATACACCTCGTTGTTCACAATAAAATCGCATACAATACATTTCTTCTGTGCTTTTACACATCATCACTTTTCGTTTCAGTAAAGATTCTCTCATATGAATCAATTTTTTTAATCGAGAAAAAATTTCCTTCTTTTTTTTTCAAAAAAATTTAATAATTTGACAAACCTTTATCCTTATCAAATTTTATCTCATTCAAAACATTTGGTACCCGATAAATAGCATCAGCATCACCATTCATAGCTTTTCGAAGTTCTTCTTCACTGGTACAGGTAGGTTTAGGTATTTTATCCGAATAGCACATATTTATAAAAAATTTCATATCTGATGGATATTTATTTGCTTCTATAGAGGCTTTAACCAATGTTTTTAATACTATTCCTGGTTTTGGAAGTATATCGACCGTCTCGTACACAGGACTCTGATCACTTGGAAACAATTCTATTTTTGGTTGGAAATCATCCTCGACTTTATTTTTTTTTTTTAAAAAAAAAGAATTCTTAGAATTAACTAATTTAAAATTTTCAATAAATACCACAACTTTAGATTAATTTCTTACCTTGATGCATTTCCAATTTTTTTGCTTGATTTAACAAAGGTTCAAAAAAATCCATTGCTTAAAATTAAATTATCATGATTACAGTCATTATTACCCATTATATAAATGACCAGTTGCACAAAATTTTTATTATATCCATCCATCTGTAGCAAATAATAATTTTTTTTAGTTACATTTATTATCCATAATGGCAGAGCCAAGCACAATAACGACTCAAAATGAAACTAAAGAAAAAGATCCAGAACCAGAATTGACTAGCAAGGATTATTATTTTGACTCATATGCACATTTTGGTATTTATGTTGACTAAAATTAATCAATGCATTTTATCCATTTATCCTTTATCATTGTTGATTTTTTTTAAAACACCAAGGCATTCATGAGGAAATGCTTAAAGATGAAGTTAGAACACTCTCATACCGTACAGCAATTTATCAAAATAAACATTTGTTTAAAGATAAAATTGTATTAGATGTAGGGAGTGGTACTGGAATCTTGTCAATGTTTGCAGCAAAAGCTGGTGCCAAACATGTTTATGGAGTAAGTATCAGAGCATATGAAATGTTTCAATATAAAAATATATACGTGTATTTTTTTTAATATAATATTCATTTATTTATGTGATAGATTGACATGTCAAATATTACTGATCAAGCACGACAAATAGTTGCAGAGAACAAATTAGATGATAGTACGAATTTACTAGCATGATCATGATTGATTTGAATTAAATTTATTTTAACTGAACTAATTTGATTTTGATATAATCGATTAATTGAGCCTTGATTTTCAACATATCACATATCAACACATAATTTAATTTGAAAATATTATCAGAAATTACCCTCATTAAAGGCAAGATGGAAGAAGTAGAGCTACCGGTTGACCAAGTAGACATTATAATTTCTGAATGGATGGGTTACTTTCTTTTATATGAATCAATGTTAGACACAGTCATAGTTGCGCGTGATAAATATTTGGTATGTGTATATATATATATATTCATTAGTCAATTGTTTGGATGAGTAATTGTTCATTTTTACGTACATACATATATATATATGCGCAGATAAATAAATATTTATTCATTTATTTGTTAAATAGAAACCTGGTGGCATGATATTTCCTGATAAAGCCACATTATTTCTTTCTGCCATTGAAGATGGAGAATATAAAGAAGAAAAAATTGGATGTAGGGATTTATATTTAAAAATAATAGCTATATCATAATTGCTATGGTAATTACTATGTTGATAATAATAATGATGTTTTCTCTAGTTTGGGATAATGTTTATGGCTTTGACTTTAGTTCAATCAAATCAGTTGCTCTTAGAGAACCATTAGTGGATGTTGTTGATTATAAAGCTATAGTCACAAAACCAAATGCAATAAAAGTATTTGAATTTTATTTAATTTCTCTCAAAATTAAAATAAAAAATATATTATTAATAATTTTTCTTGATGATAATAATGATTTTAGGAAATTGATATTAATACAGTTCAGAAATCGGATCTTGATTTCAAAGCTCCATTCACTCTAACCGCTCTCAGAGATGATTATATCCACGCGTTTATTTCTTGGTTTGAGATCACCTTTTCAGTGTGTCATAAGCCGGTTCATTTCAGCACAGGTGGGCAAAAAAAAAAAAATCTATTAACAAAAATTATTATTCTTCACTAAAAAATCCACCACTAATATGTAAAAAAAATTTAGGACCGCATGCTAAATATACACACTGGAAACAAACTGTGTTTTATACAAACGATTCAATTATTGTTAAAGAAGGTGAAACAATTGCTGGAACTTTAACTTGTTCTCCTAACAAGAAAAACAATCGAGATTTAGATATTGAGATAAGTTACGAGTTTTCAAGTGATGCAGGAAAATTTTCCGAAGTGTGTAAATATAAAATGTGAGTAAAACATTATCTTATTTGCTAATGATTATTTATTTCATTTATTAAGTTAAATATTTAATTTAATTTAATTTTACCATGTCCTAGGAATTAGGTATTAATTATACGTACAATTTATTTATTTTAACTTTAAATTTTAATGATAAATCTTACTTAATCCTAACCAAATTGCTGATTGAATAATAAACATACACAAAACTTTTAATTCACCCAACATGTTGAGTTTAGCCATTAGATTTAATATAATTGACTGTCCTTTTCGGGCCAGAGTTCCGTGAACATAAAGAGACTTTAAAAATTCTGAGCCTCTAAATTTTTGGACTCAAACATCATTTATAGTTTCTGCACTCTCGTAAGCTAGGTAGGTAACTTGACCTTTAGAATCTGGGAGATTTGATACCAGCAATCCCAAATTCGTTAAAGTAGTCCTGTATCTGGTGGACGAGTTCTTTATACAATATCTCTTCTTTCATAAGTTCCAGAAACAAAAAAAAAATCATTCTCGAAAGTTTTTTGCTTCGAGAAGTGTTAAATTTAAAGATTAAAGTAACTAGAGAAATAATTTATCATCATCCAAAAACATACAACTTTTTTAGTTATGCAACCTTGAATGAATGTTGATGGAAATACCGTATCTCAAATCTAGTTTTTTATTGACAGAATGTTTGCCGTGTATTGTAAAGTTACGTTGCACAATATAAAAAATTGGTGTAACATTTCAAATTTCCCACTATGCTTCGCCGCCATCATGTGTTATTTAAAGCTCTTTCAAATGGAATTAAACTATAATAAGTTTGAGCGATTAGATTGAAGTTACACGATATCGTACATAAATTCAGATATATACAAATTTGGTCCCCCACTCACTGAAAAGAAAAAAAACAAGTCTGTTTGTACACATATTAACAAAGATTAATAATAAACTAGATAAATGGAACTAGATTTAATAATAAAAATAATAAAAAGCAGAATAAGTTTATCATCGTAAAGTATTCAACAACAATCATAACAGCAATAACAGCAACAACGACAACGTCAACATTACTATTAATTTTATGGCAAGGTCATTTTTTTCAATCAAAAACATCAAAAAACAGCATAATTATCTCACTCTATTTTGTTTATGGATATTTTTTCTTCATTTTAGTGGCCTATACCTATTCACAAGAGGGTTTCTACTAACTCGTTTAGTTTTAGAAAATCATAGCGACTGTGAAAGTTTTCCTACTTGGAATTTAACTGATCACAATAATAATAATAATAATATTAATAATAATCACCAGTATCATTATCCTTGGAAAAATGTTAAAGCAGAAGACACTTCTTCTTTTGAACATAATGGATGTTGGTATCCAGCTCCATTTAAAAAAGCTATTATAATTATTATTGATGCTCTAAGGTTTGATTTTGTAGCTTCATCTGCCTATAACAATAACAATGATTTTGGAGGTGATGATTTTGATGATGAGGATAATAGTAATAATAATCATGACCATCATCATTATTTAAATAAGCTTCCAATAATTCGCAAACTCCTTAACAAACAATCGACCAACTCTTTATTGTTTCAATATATAGCTGATCCACCAACAACAACCTTACAACGTTTAAAAGCATTAACAACAGGTACCTTGCCTACATTTATTGATGCTGGAAGTAACTTTGCTGGATCAGCAATAGACGAAGATAATTTGATTCATCAGCTTTGGAGACAAGACAAAAAAATTGCTTTTATGGGTGATGACACTTGGGTGTCTTTGTTTCCTCAAGAAATCAATCAAAACATGTCTTATCCATTTCCATCATTTAATGTATGGGACTTGCATACAGTTGATAATGGAATATTAAATTTATTAGGTCCTACAATTAGATTACCATCATCATCATCATCATCAAAAGAAAACTGGGATGTTCTGATTGCTCATTTTTTAGGTGTTGACCATTGTGGTCATCGATATGGGCCTGATCATCAAGAAATGGCTACCAAGTTAAAACAGATGAATGATATGATAAAAGATGTCACTGATTCAATTGATGAAAATACTGTTTTACTAATTATGGGTGATCATGGAATGGATCTAAAGGGTGATCATGGTGGTGATAGTGATAACGAGGTTGAATCTGCTCTTTTTATCTATAGTAAAAAACAATTAACCAACAACAATAATTACGATTTAGGAAAACTTTTAAATAAATTAGATAGTTTAACTTTTCAAAACTCTTTCACTGCAATTAATAATAATAATTTTGGAAAATGGCGAAGCATTCCACAGATTGATTTTGTTCCTACCTTGTCACTTTTACTGGGATTACCAATACCATATAATAATCTAGGTACTATTATACCAGAGCTTTTTCTTCTTCCAAATAATAACCATAATTATGATGGTAGTGTTAGTGTTGATGACGAACAACAGCATAAAATTCAATTAATGAACCTTTTGGAAGTGTTAAGATTGAATTCTCAACAAGTTTTTAGATATGTGGTTGAATATTCTCAACAACAACCTTCTGCTGAATTATCAAAAGGTTATTTACAAATATTAAGATCATCATTTCAAAAAGCTGATGAAAAATACAATTTGATAAAGGAAAAAGAAAATCAACAACAACATTCTCGAATGGTTTTATCATCGTCATTAGATGATTTAGAAGATGGGATAATTTCTTATATGAAATTTTTAAAAGAGACATTATCAATATGCCGTAAAATATGGGCGCAATTTGATGTAATGCGCATGATTTCGGGAATTGCCATTCTATTCTTGAGCTGCGTGTGTATTGCTTTACACATGTATAATCTAACAATCATTGATGATAATAATACTGATATTATTATAATCAATCAAGTAGCAATTACTTATGTATCATTTGGTGGTATTATTGGGTTTTTTTTTATTAAATTAGGAATTTTTAAATTATTATTACCATTATTTTCAATATTGCTTGATAATAGTTATTATGAAAATTCGAGTTTTTCAATTGTGGATTTTATGATTTTTGGTGTATCAATCGGATCAATCTTTGGTTTTCTATTTCAATTTAACTGGAGCGCCTTAATTTTTCAAAAAACTAGAATAAAAATGTCTTCTGAATTTTTCTTGGCCATTTCATTTCTTCTGATTCATTCATTACTATTTGCATCAAATAGTTTTACAGTTTTTGAGGATAGAATTAGTGTTGGTCTATTACAAACTTATGGTTTTTACAATTTATTCAAATCATTTAGTAACAACAACAATAATAATAACGATAAAAATCAACAAAAAATGCTATTTTTCACAATAGGATTGATCCTACTAACACGTATCGCGAGTTATTCTAGAATATGCCGCGAAGAGCAATTTCCAAATTGTATTTCAACATTTTACATATCAACATCATCATCTGTCTCTTCACCGGCTATTTTATTAAGTCAAGTTGCAATGGCAAGTCTTGTCCCATTTATTATTTATAAAATTATGAGTTTATCAGATAGTTTTAATGGGATTGCACCATTTTGGATTGATTGGGGTTTAAGGGCTGGATTAGTATTGGCATCTGTTTATTGGATTATGGATAATGACAATGTTATTGATAATAATACTGGTAGTAGTGAAAACGGTGGAAATATGGAGATAAATGGTTTTTTTGATAAATATTTAAATCCGGAATGGATGAAAAATTTTATAGTGAAATTAGCTTTTGGAATAGCAATAATAGTTGGAAATTTTGCATGGTGGACAAGTCCTTTATGTGTAGATTTTAGAATTGTTGGTATTAAAAATAACAGTAATAACAACAACAGCAATAGCAATAACAACAACAATAGTAATAGTAATAATAATAAAAAAAAACCAAAAAATAAAAATACAAAGAATAGTCAACAATCAAAAGAACCACTAAAAAAAAAAATTAATATTTTAGGAAGTGATAACGTTTTTGGAGCATCATATTTTATTTTCTTATCAATGATTTATCTTGTTTTATTTATTGTACAAAAACCAATGGGTGGAATCATGATTTCAATTGCACTGGTACAAATCCTATTTTTATTAGAAATACTCGCTATAAAAAAATCAATCCGTGAATCCAATTCCACGACCACTTCTACTAAAGATTCATATGGTTCATTCCAGGATTATTTTATTTATAATGTTTTATTAGCATTACTTGGTACATTATATTATTTTTCAACTGGCCATCAAGCAACACTTTCATCAATCCAATGGTCAACAGGTTTTATTGGAATTGGAGAAGTAAATTATATAATATCGCCAATTCTTGTAACACTAAACACATTAGCATCACCAATTCTATTCTCATGTTCTGTTCCATTGGTTGCATTTTGGGGGTGGAAAATTAGTAATAACAATAATAATCATGACGTTTACTCTGCACTCACTTACTCTACATTAGCATTCATCCTTTATAATGCAACTATTACTACAAGTACAACTTTTTGGGCTGCTTGGTTTAGAAGACATTTAATGGTCTGGAAAGTATTTGCACCTCGGTTTATGTTGGGTGGCGTGACATTGATGATGGTGGATGTGGTTTTAACTTTTTTGTCAATCGGTTATGCTACTAGAAAAATTTTCAATCATGTTACTAGAATTTTTGATGTAAATTATTTATAATTTTTTACTTTATTTCCAAGTGAGAAAATTTCGCCGATCTTTTTTGAAATCGTAATAAAAAAAGGAAGTTTTCTACAATCATTTGCAATTTGATATTTTGATAATTGCAATTGAAATTTGCCAATTGCTAATTGCAAAGGTTTGTTCATGAACTTTTGGTAAACTGAATTTTTTGAGAACAAATTTGAAATGCGGAACATTGTAGTAATAAACTTTTTTTCTTTAAAAAAATACATAATAATAATAATAATAAATACGTTGGAGAATAATAGCATTTTTAGTAAAATTTGTGACATTTTTCCATATTTAGAACTCACAAACTTCTAGACGAATTGTCAATTAAAAATTAATTAAGAATGAATTCATAATTTTTAAAAAAATAAAGATGAAATTAGTTTTATTAATTTAATTGACTGGCCAAAATTAAAAATTATCTAGAAAAAAAAAAGAAAATACAAACATCAGTTTCAAATATATATAATCCAAAGATATTATATATAAAATATTAATTAATGTTCAGTAAAACAATTTGTTTCATATTGAGAATTGTCTAGACTCTCTTCAAACTCATTAAATCATTTTTTTTTAAAGCATCATTACAATTAATAACGAATTATTTTTTGAGGGGGATGAAAATAATTAATTATTTCATACCTTAAATATAATAACATTCTTGCACTCACAACTTTTGTAAAAACTTTAATTCCTAAATAATTAACGTTCTTATTCAACTTCGACTCCTTCTTCCCCTACATCATCATCATCATCACCTATCATCATCACCTCATCATCATCTGATAACAAATCACCAAATTGTTTATCAAATTCTTCTTGACTAATTTTTCCTTTTTTCAACTTTTTGATTAATCTTTCTTCTTTTTGCAATTCATCCCACTCATCTTTTTCCAAATCATCATCACCATCAATTTTATTGTGTTTATTAATAGTTTCACCACGAGAATTTTTTTTATTTTCTTTTTTCATTTTACGTTCCGTTTTACGTTGTTTCTTTAATTTTTTATCAGACCATGAATCATTAATTATTAATTGTCGTTTTCTACTTGAACAATTATAAAGATAAATGAATATACAATTGATTGTATTTTTAGACTACAACTATAATGATTATAGAAAAAAAATTTTAACTGACTTTTTTAATGATATTAATTCTGATTCTGTCGATTTTGTGGCTTTTTTTTCCAATAATTTTTCTTTTCGTTTTTTTTCACGTATGCTATCTGCATATTTATATTCGTCCATCTAAAATAACAAAATTATATATTAATTAATATTTTCTTCTTTCTTCTTCTCCAAAGAATAATTATTTTTAATTATTTAAACTTGCATTTATTTGAACTTCATCAAATCCAATCTTTGCATTAGCCAATTCTGGCATTCTTGGCAACTAATAACGTTAATAATATTCATTAATCAAAATATAATTAATTATATAATTAATAATTAATATATATACATAAATGCATGAATACATACTTTTAGTAAACCAAAACCTTTGGCAACTTTGCCTAAATCTAAATCCTTTAATCTAAAAATATAACTTGCTTCATGTTTTGAATACGACCTAACATATGATACAAAAGCTTTTGTTCCCTAATTAAATTTAAATGTAAATGTAAATGTGTATATGTATGTGTAAACATACGATAATAAACATAAATATCTGCTAATTACCTTATCATGTAAATCTCTATCCGTTAAAACTATTTTACGAATTTGCTCTAATAATTCATCATTTTCTTTATCAATTTTCGGTATCTCTTTGATTCTGTCATCATCATCATCATCATCATCATCATCACTACTACCTCTTTCAACAGTAGTGAGATTTTTTCCATTCGATAAAATATATGAATGCTTAAATATCGGAATTTTACGAATTTTTAAAAAATCTAAAAAATAAAAATAAACATTAAATTATAATCAAATAATAAATTTTTTGATTTATTACAAAAACTGTTGAGTTACAACTCCCACCTATATAAACTTCTTCACGTCCAATTCCCAAGAATACCATCGCTTTCCCTTCCTTACCAGCTCTTGCAGTTCTTCCACAACGATGTGAGAATACTTTGGGGTCTTGTGGTGGATCTACCTGTATAACATAGTCTACATCAGGCACGTCTAATCCTCTTGCTGCAACATCGGTACATAGTAGAATTGCGGTTGATGTTGTTGGTAAATTAACAAATGATTTGTATGTGGCTTTTATTATTAATATTATTGTTAGCAAGCTTTAATAGTATATGGAAAATTATATTTATTATTGTAATATTACAACAATAAATAAATTTGTGCACACCTGTTCTTCTTTTAGTATCCATTTTTCCATGAAGTGAATGAATTGACACTCCACTAAATTGTGGTAATTTTACAAATATCTAAACAATGATACATCAACAATCATTGCAGTGAATAATCTAATATTTAAAAAATTGCATATTAATAGTATAAATGACTTTTCCTTACTTTGTAAAAATAATCAACGCATGCACATGTAGAAAAATATATTATGTATTTTTTTGCGACTTTTTCACTTTTCATCAATCTTATTAATTGTGATAATTTTTGATGTGGCTCACACAAAATATATCCAATCTGTAATCTATTATTTTTTGATGTGTTTGATGTGAGAAAAAGTATATATATATATATATATTTACAACATACAACAACAATAATCTCCTTCATTTATTAGATATACACACGTACGTAGCAGGCGTTCTCTGTTCATTTTTTGTTACAACGTCTTCAACTTTAACTACAACTCTGACTGGATTTCTTAATCCAGCCCGTACAATTTCACTTAAACCATCAGTCATCGTAGCCGAGAACAACCCAGTTCTTCTTTGTCTTGGCAGGTGTAACATTATCGTATTAATATTTTCCGAAAATCCCATATCCAACAATCGATCAGCTTCGTCCAACACCAATATTTCAAGTTCTTTAGTATTAACTATGCTTATACTATTGCTGGTGTTGTTGTTTCTACTACCAGTATTTCTACCAACTATTAAATCATGTAAACGTCCAGGTGTACCTATGAGTATATCTGGACCTATTTCTTTAAATTTTTCAATATCTTCGCTGATATTTGTTGTACTGCCACCGATTGCTAGTAGGTGTTTTGGCAATTGATTATCCAATGATAGTGATGATGATGAATTAAGAAATATTGAGAAAACTGATGAAATTTGTTGTGCCAATTCTCTATAAAAAACAAATATAATTTTAGAGCGAAATCAATATAATATAAATAATATATAAATATTTATATTACCTCGTAGGTGTAATGACCAGAGCACCAATTTCGTTTTTTCTTAATCGATGCTTTCTATTAACCAATTTTTCAATAATAGGTATAACAAAAGCTAAAGTTTTACCAGAACCTGTAACAGCCTATTTACGTATATAAATAAATATATACAAATAAACAATAAATATGTACAATAAAATCATATTTTAACCCTTTGATACACCAGGTAGCTATGAAAGATTCTAAATTTCTAATTACCTCAACAACTACATCTTTACTCTTCATAAATAATGGAATTGTGCTAGCTTGTACAGGAGTCATTTCTAAAAAACCGATTGTGGCCAATGTTTCTAAACTAACATATCGAAGAAAAAGCTGAATCAATTAATATTATGTTTGTAATAAAATAAATTCAAATAATTTGTTGAAAATTTTTAAATATCAATAATATACATATATCTGCGTATATATACATAAAAGGACTCAATTTAGGTTCCAAGGAGGTCCATGAGCCTGCATTTACGACTGTTCCCATTTCAATATTGGGGAGGTTTTAAAATATCGTATTTTTTGTAGATAATCGGAAATAATTTTTTTTTTAAGATTTATTGTTGTAGAACAAAAAATTCGATTGGTCAATTGAATAAAATAAAATTTTTTTATCGTCCATTTTTTTAATCAAAGTATTGAAAGTCATTTGAAAAGAAAAAGATGCTCATTCCAAAGCAAAATCGTAAACTTATCTATGAAAGTCTTTTTAAAGGTAAACAAACTAATTTATCAAACAATCAACCAATTCAAATTAATCAATTGTTCTCTTTCCAATCAAAAACCTAATCATCAAAATTTTACTCAGAGGGAGTCTTGGTAGCAAAAAAGGACTTCAATGCACCCAAACATCAAGATATAGATGTACCAAATCTACAAGTTATAAAAGCATGCCAAAGTCTTAACTCGAAAGGATATGTGAAAACACAATTCTCATGGCAATATTATTATTACTCGTTGACTGATGAAGGTATCGAATTTTTAAGAGAATATTTACACTTGCCTTCGGAAATTGTTCCTGCTACTTTCAAAAAACAAACTAGACAAGCTAACAGAACTCGAGGTATTATTTAGTAATTGAGGGTTGGGGTGTGCGTGGTGTATATATATATATATATATATATATATATATATATATATATATGCACACATATATACATATTCACATTTACTTATTCACATATACTTATCCACATAAACCCCAAAAACATTTTATAGAAACTGAAGGAGGCGGCAGAGATGGTGCATATCGTCCACCACAAAATCGCGGTGGTGATCGTGATTATCGTCGTCGTGATGATGATGGTGGTGATGGTGGAAAGAAGGAGGGTGCATCTAATGATTTCCAACCAGAATTTATTAGAAGTTATGGTCGTGGTCGTGGTGGTGGTGGTCCTAATTAAATAAATATAAATTAATCGTATAAATTACATTCTTCACACGGTTTTCTTTTTTTTCCTCTTTCTTTTCTCCAATCATCGTATCAATATTCCCAATTACCAATACAAACAAAAGTTCTTCTTGAAATAAAAGGTTTAAAGCACAAGTATTCACCAAGCATTTAGTTAAAAATCTAGTTTACGAAGACATTAAAAATTTGCTCATTTTGAAATAAATGATTTAAAGTGTGAATGTGTCAAAGCACTTTATAGTTCATACAAATACGAAATATCAATAAATGTGATTAATGTATTTGGATGTGAAAAAAAAAAGGTTATTATTAAAACTGAACTCACAGACATAAATCCAAAATACATAAAAATTTTATTTATTAAAAAATCGCTTTATAGGTTGTATGTTGGATATCAATATTCAATTAATCTAATTAACAAAATTTCATATTTAAGGCCACGAACGAGTCGAACTGATTCGGATCTAATACTAATACAAATATAATTCGCCTAATTTTTAATTCATTTCGAATCAATATATATAGATTAACCCAATGAATCTTGATTTGGTTTGATTCGGATAATTAATCCAGTATTGACATTTGGCCGGCCAAAAAAAAAAAGGTCAAAGCGGCCAAAACTTTCTCAATTTCGACATGGTTTATATATTTGTTGACCGAAATGACCAAGCGGCAAAATTCCAACACTGGATTAATACACTGAAAATTCGAATTATAATCAAATTCGCGTTAGAATGAATTTTTAAAATTTGTTTAAATATAAAATTCGTTGAAGTGCGATTTTCTTATTATTATGCGTCCCATTCTATGTACTAGCTAGCACTAAACACATATGGAATACAAATACGAGAAAATGAACTTTTCCATACAGAAACGGTACGGAGTAGATTTTTCTACGTGTTTTTTGCATTCTCATGTACAGAAATCACACGGAAAAAATATTCCCCAGAAATATTCCGCACTACTAATATGGGGGTTTTCTAGCAAAAACCGTCTATAAGTAATGAACGGAACACATAATAATAATAAGAAAATTTATTATTATTTAAAATCCGTTGTGGCAAGATTACTAATTATAATACTAATCTTGTGACAACAGATTTTTATATATATTAGTACATGAAGCAAAATCTGTTATGACAAGAATTTGATTATCATCCGCTGTGACAAGGTTTGACTGTAGTTTGTAAGAATACGCGCGGGATTTACGGATAATGTACTAGTACTAGTACGGAATATTCCAGTGAAAATTAAAATTAAGATGCAAAAAAAAGTACGTGATAGATACGGGATGCATACTAATACGAAACACCTACGGGATTTATGGAGACATAGGGAATTCGTTTTTCCAGTGCTAATACTAGTACGCATACTCTAATTGAGCGAAATCGAAAATGGGAGGGGCCAAATCTGAATCAACATATATCAACTACTTAGTTAATCTGTCTTTTCTTTATCCGAGCTCCCATTTGTGAAATGATTGGTGTCTGAACTCGTGCACTTTTCGTAATGTGTACGCGAGTTTTATTGAGATCAATTAATTCAGCTTTGTATTTAAGAGCAATATATAATGCCTTTTCGAGTTCCCCATAACTTATGCGCGTTTTTTTAACTCGGTAAATGGTTACACTGGCACGTTTCACTTCGAGCTTATTCTTAACTTTGTGCATGGCAACTGGGATATAGATATAGAAATTTTTTCCGTTACATATAGCTTTCAACTCTCATTGTGATCATAATTGTATTTGTTAAGTAAGGGATTGCTTAATACTAGCATTGGTTTGGAGTTTCTGACAACCACAAAATCATAAAACCTGGGATGGTACATTACGAACAATTCCAATAGACTTAATTGGAACAGTATCAATACCTGAAAGATCGTGTATCTTACTAGTATCAATCTTTAATTCTAAACGTTTGGCAATATCTTCACTCATAATAGTATGGTGCCAGCATCAAAATGCATTTTTCCCATATGTACTCATTCCGGATATATTCAATACCTATTCTGTCATAACTTTTTATGAGGACATGGATTTGTTGAAATGAAGTTTGACTGTAATTGCCTTCTTCTAGTTATAAATATATTTTACTTTTAAATATCTAATTTAAGAATCCAGTTTGATTTGAATCAAATTGCTTTAAAATCCGACTTGATTCAATTCGCTTGGAGCCTTATACTCTACTACTACTTGGTAAATAAAATTTTACACAAATCTTTTTATCTTGGCCAGATTTTCTCATTCAAATATTATTCCCATAAAATTTAAATATTCAAATAGGGATCAAAAGATTATGAATAGGAGTATAATTTATATTGTAACAGGCAATCTGTACTCAAACACTCTGTTTATTGTTTTTATTTTTATTTTTAACAAAGCAATGTCCTGCACATATATTTTATTAGAATAAAGTAAAGTATTTTTAAAGAATTAAATTAATATTATTTAAAAATTATTGAGTTTTTTTGAACATTCTTTAATTAATTACCTTAACATTATGAATAATCTTTTATAATTTGATCTAATCAATCTTCTAAAGATCTCCTATTTATCAAACTTTCAACTCTTTATCTTCCACTTATGCCATATGAAATATTTCTTATTTTTTATAAATTAAATACTTAGAAATGTCATTAATAAAGGACTATTTGTTACTTGAATAAAAAACATTTGTGCTAATATTTTCAAGGTCAAACCAAATACCATTATTAACAAAGTTTTTAAATACCCAGTATTTAAAAATACTATATTATATATAAATACAATTTTTTTATTTTATAAATAATGATAATTATTAATATGCAAAAAAAAAACCCAATAAAAATAATATTAATGGTTTACCTGCAAGTGCTTCAACATTTGAGGTTAATACAACAATATTAATTAACCATGAATATTCCAATTCATTATAATCCCAAATTACCATTAAAATTAATAAAATTTTACCAAAACTTGAAATTATTAATGCCATAGTAATATAATTATATCTAAGAATAAAGATGATGATTAATAAATAAAAGAAATATTGATTTTTTTTTTAAATCCTTTATCAATTAATATTATTATTATTTAATCACACTCACTTTACTATTGCATATTTATCACCAATATAAAAACTTACAGCAAGCCTTACACCAAATTGAAATACAATAAATTCTACATTTTAAAAAATATTATTACATAAAAAAATCATTATATTATAATTGATCATAAGAAATAATAATTTCAAACCTATTACACATAGAAATAGTATATATAAATATTGTAGAAATAAAGGTTGTTCAATGAATGGAATATCTGATGCATTATAATATTTCTCTAGACGAAACCATTTAATATCTATAATTGTTAAAAAAAAAAGTAATATTATATAATTATATATCTCATATATATATAATATATAATAAGTAATAATACATACATACATCAAATAGTATTAATAATATCCCAAGTTTTAAAACATTTGGCTTGAAATTTTAAAAAATAAAATAATATTTTAATATTTTCAATATTTTTAGATCTCTCTTTTCCTCGCCCCATTTTGTAAAACAAAACTTACATTAATTCCATAATCTCTATATTCCAATCGATTAAATAATAAATGTCGATAAACTTGTGGTTTATGTAAAAGCATATCAATAAAAATTATTACAAAATCGTGTTCAACATATTTATCTGCAAATTTTTTACATTTTTCCTATAGTAAAACAACAAAGAAAAAAATTATTATATAATTTAAAAAAAACATATAAAGTTGTTTGCAATAAAACTTATTTATTTACACAATGAGTTAAACGAATGTTTCCTTCACTATATTCTGTATAAAGATTCGTCACAGGTGCCCCACATTCTACACAAGTTGGCATCTTTTTATTACTTGTAATGATATATATATTTCGTGTAACAGCGCGCATCAAAAGTATTAAAAAATGACGCAATTAAGAAAATTGACATTACGTCGTCGTCATTACTAAAGTTTAACTTTATACATTTACAAGGCCCCGGAAGGAAAAGACACATTAATATATTAGTATTAGTGTTAGTGTGATGAAATTCAGGGATATTTGGGGAGCTTCCAATACGAAAAAGGCATGATTGCATTTGAACGTCACAAGGCCAAAAATAGCACCGCAATCTCTATCTTCAATGAGCATTTTCCAAATTGCATCGGAGCGTTTGCTTTTGATGACAGCTCTAATTATGATATTTATGCTGGTAATGCTCCTGTGGGCAGATCGAATGCTCTTAAATGACGGCGGTGGCGCTTCAGGGGAGTCAAAAGGTATGAAAACACTATTAGTTAAAAAAGGCTCCAGAGAGGTAAATTATAGAGGAAAAGTAATTGATTGATGAATGATTATTTCTTTGCAATCAGATTCTGTTGGCCAAAAAAGCCTTATGAGGAAATTTACAGAAAAATCTCATTTTCTAATTTAATAGTTGTGTGGCTGGTTAAAAACCATTATCATATAAATTTAAGATTTTTTGTGTTCGTGCAACAGATCACAATTTACAATTTTATCTGGAAAATCATAATGATGATTGTAAACGTCATTGAACTGACTGGTCTACTAGGGAGCCCTGTAGATATTTAATATCGGCGGCAATTGTTTTTATGACCATATAGCATAACCAATCCTTTATTGTTATAAATTATGATCGAGTATAATGTCATCATATTAAAAAAAAAGTAAATTTACTATAACAATAATACTCGCTAATAATAATAAGCTTACAGCTAGGCTGAACTCGGAAAATATTGGTACAAATACGTTTCACGATTTTAGAGTTTATTGTTTGCAAAAATGTTTCACGATTTTTCTTTATTGTTTTGTTGAAAAATTCCATTTTAAAATAATCTTATCTTTTTGAAAATATTTATTCTTTACATATTTTTTAACAAGAATTAATAATAATAATATCATTAAATAAATATGAAAGTATTTAAATCTCATACAAGGACTTCAGTGACTGAATATATAGGTAAAATTAATGATATTATTATCATTACTTTATTAATTATTAAAACAATCTAAACGTCTTTTCTATAATTATTTTAATAAAGAACGAATGACTTCCCAACAATATAAAGAAGACAACTTGGATGATATATTTATATTGTGTGAGGCAATCAATCTACAAGAAACTGGGTAAATTAATATAATATCATATTTATATTCATATTGAATTTAAATTAATTGATAATATTACCATTATAAACTCATTAAAAAGTCCTAAAGAAGCCAGCCAAGCATTGAGGAATGTGTTTAAATACGGTTCAAAGCATTCACAACTTAGGGCATTGACGGTAAATTTTAATATAATTTTTTACTACTATTACTATGATTATCATTAATTATCAATCTTATTTTCAATCAAAAATAGATTTTACAACCATTGATGGAAAATTGTGAAAAAATTCATCGTTTGTTTCCCAAAAAATAAAATAATCTATCAATTAATTAAATATCTATTTAAATGAAATATTTGTTAATCAACAATTTATTTTTTAAATTTAGCTTATGTTGCTTCACACAAATTTATCGATAAACTTAAAAATCTTGCATTATCGTCGGTAAATATAAAAATATCTTATGCTAAAAAAATTAATAATAATTTTTTTTCTCATTTATTATTATTATTACTATCCATCCATCCATCTATATATGATTAGAGTACTGACGATGAAGTTCATAAGAGATTGATGATTTTATTTGCTCAATGGTCAAATAATTATAAAAAAAAACCAGGAATGGAAAACATAACAAGTTTATATAGCACTGTATCTAATAAAAATAGTCATAGTAATGGTGGCGGACACACTTCGAGTAGAAAAAGTTCAACCGACTCAACCTCCTCCACAAAATCATCATCACTATCTCATATTAATAATAATATTAATAATATTTATAATAATGATAAGAAAGAAAAACGTAAGAGCACTTCTAGTACTCTATTAAATAGTACAATGAAAAATCTAAATAATAAAAAGAAACAACATGAACGACAATCATCAAGTAAACCAAATAAACCGGAAAAATATACTCCTTCTCAGGTAAATATTATTAAAATTATTATTTATTAAATTATAAATTATATAAATTATTAAAAATTTTTTTTAAAAACTTTAGGTTAATCAAGAAATTGGTTCAGCAATTCAAAATGCTACAAATTTGGTTAATGCCATTACTTTGTTGAATCCTGATATGGACTTTGAAAACGATGATGAATTACAAGAATGTGTTGCTAAATGTAAAGCTTCTTCAGAGCAATTATTCAAAATTATACCTACAATCTCTGGTGGTACTCAATTAGGTCCTTTGCTACAATGTAATGATCAAATACAAGGAGCTTTAGAACTATATTCAAAATATTGTGAAGATTGCAAAAAATCAGATTTGGATGATGTAACTTCTAATTTCGAAAAGACAAAATTACAAAATAATACTAGAGAAAAAAAATCATTTGATTACACAAAGGTAATTTTATTATTATTTGGATTTATACATTTAAGCGAGAAGAAACTAATCAAAATAAAAATAAAAATAAAAAAAAAATAGTCAAATAAAGAATTTGATGATTTAATTGATTTTGATTCGTATGTATCATCCACGTAAGTTTAATAATTATTTAAATAATTTAAATTCATAAAATTTTAAAAAATTACTTAAATAATAATTATCATCATCATCATCATCATCATCATTATTACTACCATTGTTATTAGCTCCTCTACTACATCTAATAAAAAATCGTGGAATAATATAGACAGTGTCTATTCCAAAAATTTAACCGATGATCCCTTCGAGGATCCTTTCGCCGATCCCATATCACCTAGCAGAACGCCCGATCCTGACGCAGAAAAAAAAATCAAGACACATCCTAAATGGTAAGAATTTTTTTTTAAAAAAAAAAACTTTTTTTAAAAAATTAATCATTAATCATATATGCTTATTATTATTTAATTAGGACTGAAGTTTAGTAAGACAAATATTTGGTATTAAAAAATTTATCACGTTTTATCATGATTATGTATTATATATATTGTATTTTATTTCATTATATTTTATTTTATTTTATTGTATGCATGACAAATAAAAATTTCGCGTTGGGGGGTCAAAATTATATGCAGATCAATTTTATTTTATATATGTATGTATATTAATATATTTATCTATCTATTTAGTTTTATGTGAATTTGCAATTCACGTACATGAAATTCAAATTAGCCAATCAGAATTTCATATCCAAACACCCCACCCCAAAATTTTAATTTCATATACAACCCAAAAAACCCATTTTTATTAGAATGAATGGCGGATTTTTCTGCGATATGATCTAGAGAGAGATTTGTCCATTAGTCTTTTTGAGTGATAGACAAATTAATAGATGTTTGATGTTACCTTTGATTCGTCTCGGGTCCATGGTATGATATTATGACAACCTGATGCACGTAACATTGCCTGCCATACACCTAATTCTCGTTCTTTCATTTCATAATTTTTTTGGTAAATTATTTCAAGCTGAGAAGACAATTCGATTATTGTACTTTCCTTCTCCGACCAATTAGTAAAAAATTTATGCCATTTTTATATTGGCAAGAGCCCTTCTCTTTCAAACTGTAGTCATAAAGATTTTTCACAAGTGAAAAATTATTCCATTCATCTGGTGTACATTTTGGAACTTTATGTTTTTTAATAAAATCTTGAACGATAATATTATCTAAACCAAAGAATTGGTAGCCATCATATTTTTGAAAATAGTTAGTTTTTTTCCAAACTTCAATTGGTGATGTATCTTCAAATGAATCTATTAGCTCATCCTATTGAGTGGATGGAAATTTTCAAATCACCTAAAAAAAAATAAAAAGGACAAACGACAAAAGCTTATTTACAATTTCTTTATCATTCCATCCTATAACTTATATACCAGAAAATTTAGTCACCATATTATCAAACATTAGTTGATACGTGTATATACTGGAAATTGCATTTATGGGCTTGTTCCTTTAACACTACGAGCAGTCTTAGTTTTACAAATATAACCTGGAAAATGGTAGTTTTCTTTATTTCCATGTACTAAAAGCCATGCCCATTCAGATGAGTTGGAAACACCTTTTCATTATCAGAAGACTGCCACCATGATGAGAATGGTCCATAACGTAATTCGCTCACTAAAGCACTGTTATTTAAAAGAGTAACAGGAATACAGCGAGCTTTTGACATTATGAAATGAATTTAATATTTAATATTGATTCTTTTGAAATTTTAAATTTATATTAAATATTTTTAGTTTTGGAAATTTTCTCAATTATAAAAAGGATTGCAATTGAAAATATCAATACACTTGTAATTCGCATTTCATTTTGAATCTCTTTACATTCCCATGCAGAAACCGAATCAGGAATCCAAATCCGATCCCAAATTCTTAGTACACTGATGCCATTAACTGATTCAGATAGCCTTAATTTATTAATTGAATTTCAAGCTCGCCCTGAAAATTAAGTATGAATATTATGTTGAAGTTTATGCAATATTTAATAAATGTATTCAGCATATTTAAACATTCCTACCACAAGAGTATAAAGAAGTTCAAAGACTGCCAAAAACGCGAGTAGCAACTTTGCTCAGCTCAGTATCGTTTTTCCTCTAATTACTTTCAAGCCCTAACGCATGAAGATTTGTCACATCAAGCAATGATGAAGATGGTAAAACAGGTTTGGATTTGGATCAACAATTTGCTTCCATTCTTTACATGTGAATATTTTATATGGGCATGGCCAAGTCGTAACAATGATTGATAATAGAGCCCTAAAATTAAAATCTGCTACATCAATAAATTCAAATGTGAAACTTTGTATACATGCTTATTTACAAGGCATAGCTTACTAAATGTTAACCGGTCACCTAACAAATATTTCCATATAAATTTTATGTTATAAAATAATTAATGAATGACTGATAGAGTGCAGTAAATAAATTACCAATGCTCTGAATTATGAACGCGTACAATTTCTTCGATTCTTCCATGTTTTTGTCCAAATAATTTTGTAATAGAGAAACAATACTGAATACAGCTTCTTTTAGAAGCTTTTCTGAATCTTCTTTCACGTGTTTTGAATCTGTGTTTTCAGGTCCACCCGATACTTTGATAAAAATAACCTTGTTGCTTGAATTCCGTACCCCTAAACCATCAGCTTGGTTTATTGTTAAATCAAATATCTTCTTCGCTTCACTCATGCAACCCAACTCGACTTCGATCCGATGAAACTTGTACTCTTTATATACTGACTAGATTGCTTTAAACAGGGGACAATTCTTTCGACAATAAATGTATGTTCTCCAATGTTTCTTTTTAAAGGATCTTCCTTCGTTGTGAAATAACTAATTGAACCAATATAAATAACAAGTATATCATTAAACTTATAATGTCAAAAAAAATATGGATTATAATACACATACAAATCATAAAGGACAAACTCGCAAATTTGACGAAATCATGATCTTTTGGATTTGCTTCTGAGCTTAAAGGGGCCATGATAGCTTTTACGAACTCTTCTTTTGTTGACTAGAGTAAAGAAATTTTAATAAATACAATTTGCTATCACACTAACATCTAAAAGAAATTAAAGATAACTTACTGATAATGCTGTTGCGAGCCAATTGCGGATTATGCTATATAGAAATATCTACTGATGCATGGTTGTCTTTTACTATCATTCCTTGATCATTTACATTCATTTTTATATGATTTTATAGATAAGTTATGGATTCCTTAAAAAGCACAGACTTTTGAGGAGTAACTTGTATATTAGCATTATTAACATTAGGCCTTGGAAATGGAGTCCTCACAAACCTAGTTTCACCCCATGAGAAATCATCGAAATGCAGGATTTGGGTGGTAGGGTTCATAACTATCATAGTTGGTGATTGTTCTTGTGGCATTGTTAGGTTATTTTATATAGAATTTAGGGGACTGGTCTGAGTTTGTGATGGTTGAGAAATGAGTGGTGAGTTAGTATTTAATACAACCACCAATAAAAAAAAAATATGTTGACAAATATCTCCAAAGAAATATCAACTAAAAATAATTTACACTTCTGTTATTATATCTCACTGTCACTATTGATTCCGGTTGTTTTCCTTTATTGACCCTCCACTAAAATTACATGTAATGTCATTTAATATTGATTTACATGTCATCACTTTTTGCAATCATCAGTAAATTTTCTCTGACGCGGATTTACACTATTTATGTAAATTTATGGCGGGACCCGTAATATTATGCAAAAACCTATGCAACTATTACATTGAGTGTAAATATTACATAATTTTTTATGCAAATATTACAACTTTACATATTAAAATTTATGGACGTAATATTATGGTGGGGAAAATTTCCTGATGATGGTATTGATGGTATTGCCTATCTTTTTTTGTTGATTATCCGAACCAGAGAAAATAGAAGAATTGTTACTTGGTTTATACTAATAATAAAATGTATAGCTTTGGACATGAAAACATATCACATATCAATCAATCAATCCAAATATCAACTTACATCACTATCATGATCATATTCATGCCATTTTCTTTTATCTACCACCTGTTAAAATATGTACAGATGCTTTAATATTAATCTATATATCGTCATTTACATTGGTGTGTTGCTTACCCTCTCTTCATGGCCCAAATCAGAAAAGTCAGTTTCACTCAAACTGTCACTATAATTAACAGGTACACTATTTCTGAGTTCCCTTGTAGAACATTCTCCCTCCTAAAAGAAATCACAAAAGGTAATGTATTCATAATCAGAAAATTCATATTTCAATGATATGACTGATCATACTTGCTTCTTACTGTTCTTTCGTTCTTTTCTTTAATAAATTTTTACGTTGCTGACCCACTTCATTAATATATTCAATATGTTCTAATGCACGCTCCATAGTGAATGCCATCTAAGGGGATATCGGATCATTATTTATTATGAAACAAGAGTTGAAAGGATTTTTTCTGCAATACTTATATTTAAATTTTCAAGAACAGTTTTGTATTTTGCTCCATCTCCGCATTATCCCAAAATTCTTTACTTCTTTAATATCCGTTTCATTCTTTATGAAAAAGAAAGGTCATTATAATCAGCAATTTTGCTAATAATAATAATTTTGTCTATGGTAATTATCGTATTTATGAACCCACATCGAACACGATGGATCATTAACAACTCAATCCAGAAAAGTTTGTGTCAAGCACAATGGTTCAACAACAAAACTGTTCAGATTGATGAGTTGTTATGATGTGGTAGGTAACAGCATCAGAACACGATGGACTTAACCTAGAAAAGCTCGTGTCAAGCATGATGGTTCAACAACGAATTATTCAGATTGATAAATTGTTGTTGATGCAGTCAGTACCTATAAAGATAATATTACAGAAAATTACTTAACTTTCAAGATATTCAGAGAAAAGTTTGCCAAAAGTTGTTGTTGGATTGGTCCAGTTGATGATATTTTGCGTAAGGTCATAATATACATATTATACTCTTTCTGTTTATCCTCTGTCCAATTTTCTTCTTTTCGACGGAACTTGAGGAAATCTAGAAGTTTCCAATCTGAAGAATCTGAAAAATAATTTGTTTTCATTTTTTCAAATGTGAAAAAAAATTATATAACACTAACACAACAAATATTTGACGATCTAGGATCTGAGGTAAAAGCTCCAAGGCAAGGCCATAAGTTTTTGGTCATTTCAAACGGTCCAAAATATCAGAGCAAGACGATGACTTAATGGTAGACGGCTGTAAACACCACGCAACAAATATTTAAAGCGAAACACGATTTCTTTCAGTAAAGTATCTGCTTTGCTCAATCCTGTCGTTTTGAACAAAATAATCACATTTATCATTTTTGGAAAACGAAAATATTTTTGTTTCAAATCAATTTGCAAATCCATTTCAAGCCAGCGCAGCAAAAAAGAAAAAAACGACTTTTGATTTTAATTTCATCCTTCCCAATAATTCAGGTTACTAAAGTCGAGTAACAAAGTGTTTAGAAGATTCATGATTCGTTACCGTAATTGCACTTGCACTGAATTTATCGTCTCAAGTCTTTAACAAGCCTTCTTTATAACAGAATGTTTCCTGTGCATTCAAATTTGGGTAAAAACAAAATATAAAAATCTACACAAAAATTACGACATTTAGAAAGAAATCGTACGTAACCTTTCTTTTATGCATGTTAATATTAGGAAATATTGTAACCGAAAAATCTTTGCATTCATTAAAACATTTTATATATTATATTTTTATATAATGTCATATGTTAACCTATTATCATCGTCAACACCAGAAAGAAAGGAATTTGCATATAAATTTTATAGAGAAATTCTTGGTAATGCTAATGTAGTGGATAGAGAAAGTAGAAAAGATTATTTTTGTTCATTAGTCAAAAAAAACAGGGAGCTTTCCGAAAATGAAAAAGAATAT